GCCTGAGGTCGGCAAGGGTAAACACCCTCCATCTTGGAAGGACTGGGGATCTTGTCACTGGCTGGACCCTCTCTTGAAATGTAGGATGGGGGCTCAACAGGCATGGGGGCGGGGGCAGGGGCGGGTGCAGTTGTGAGGGCAGGAGTCGGGGCCGGGGCAGGGTCTTGCTCCCTTTTGGGGCTTTCCTCCGATGCAGAGGAGGCATCACATGATTCAATGACGAGCTCGCTGTCCAGCTCCGCCTCCCGCTCCTCCCGCAGAATGCTATACTGAATGGGTGGAGCCACTGGGGCCACGGCAGAGGCGGGGCCTCCCATGAGACCAAAGCTCGCGTAACCAGCTCCGGGGGACCGCTGCTCGTGGAGGGGGGACGGCTCGTCCGACACCAGCTCAATCTCAGAGTCACCCGACTCGGCGCTGCTGCCATCTTGGTCGTGGACAGTTGCTGAGTGGAGGGGCTGGGCAGAGGCCCCGAAAGCATTAACCACTCCGGAACTCACAGGCTTCACCACACTAGACTGGAACATGAGGTCAGATGGGGATTCCTCTACAAAGAGAGAGAGAAATACAGAAAGAAAAAGGAAGATAAAGAAAAAGACATGGAGGGACATTGCAAGTGCAAAGTGAGATGTAGTAAACAGCTGTGTTGCCTCAGTGGATTAAGAGACTGTTGGCAGAGTGATTTCACTGCTGGACCCCTGAGCCTGGCCCCTAACTCCATTTGCTCCAGGGACTGTCTGACCTTGCTTTCACAAATAATGTATACTGCTTAGGATAAAAGCATATGCTAAATATACAAAATGTAAATAGTGCATTAATGTGCTAGTCAATGTGAAGCTCAGTGTCTGTTTCCCAGTGCAGTCCCAGCTGTAACCTGCGGAGCGTAACTCTTGTCTGCCCCCCATTGGCTGCTCATTTTTGCTGATTGATTAAGTCTGGATTTAATGCCCCAAACTACCCAGAATCTTTAATTAATAGGACTTTACCAATACATCAATAGGCACTGAGCAATACACAACACACTGGGGAAATGAAACTGCCCTTTTCTGCAGGTGCAGCTATTCTATAATCCTGTTTCATCTGATGGGCTTGTGACGGACAGTGTGCTGTGCGGGGGGGACACCTGTGAGGGGAGGCGTAACAGAGTCGGGGCTGTCGTCCTCAGGCTCGGACAGTGTGACTGTGGGCACTCCTTCCACACCCAGGCTGAGGATGCTCTCTCTCTCAGACACTGAGATCTGGGGGGGGCAGCCAGAGGCGGGGGCCGTCTCAGTCAGGGTGATCCTGACCGGGCTGATGGTCCGTGGTGTGCCACCCGCACTTTCGGCCAGATGGTCCAACAGCTCTTCATCCGAAGGTTCCTCCACATAGGGGAAGGAGTATGAGTCCAGCACCGGGCCCAGCGTCTCTGGGGCCTTCTTCTCCTGGTACTGGCCCGAGCTGGTCTTCACTGAGTCATCCCACCCACCAAGGTGCTGCAGTTGCTGCTGATGCTCATCCCTTTGGCCTACGTCCATGTAGCTGTAGGTTTCAGTCTTCTCCGACTCCAGCAGACTCCGGGCCACGTCTATGGACTCCCCAGGGGTCATTTCAATGCCTGAATCGGAGCTGAACATCCCACCGTGTGAATCTAGACTGGACACCCGTTCTACTTGCTTCTGATCCCCAAAGAGATACGGTGCCACTTGTTGAGAGCGCAGGGATGTGTACAGGTCGCTGCCAGTGCTCACTGAGCTATTCAGGAGGTCGAAGTCCAGATCACCTGCAAGGACAGGTAAGACGTGAGGGAAGATTAGCATATTTCCATGCACTTGTGTCTCAGACAGTGCTAAAATATAATGGCACTACCTGCAGGGGTCCAGCGACCTCCCTATGCACCCTCAGGGTGTACGGCGTAATAGTGTGTGCGGGTCATGAATAGATTGCACTGCGGGGATAAATTAAGGAAACTTAATTTTCTAAAAATCTGTGGCTGCAACCAAAAAACTAAAAATGTTCTGTTTTGTTTGGTTACTTATGGTTAAGGTTAGGGCTGATGGTCAAGGTTGTCATTGTTGGGATTAGGTTTTTTGCCATAGAGTTGAATGGACGATCCCCGCGAACGTGTGAGTGTGCGTGTGTGTGTGTGTGTGAGAGAGAGAGAGAGAGAGAGAGAGAGATCAGGGTGAATATTTAGGTATGTGTGACAGTAAATGGTGGATTTAGCAGCTCAGCAGTTGTTTCCACATAAACTTGCCCAGACAGCACTACACCCTTGTGGGTAGCACAGGGCAGGGCTGGGCTGGGCAGGGCTGGGGAACCCTGGGGACGCTTCACTGCACTCACATGGTAATCTTAGCCTGCAGGGAAAAAACTAGCCACAGCTGGCATAAAGGAGTATAACCCAGTACTGACGAAATCCCAGCTGCAAATAAGAGGCACTTAATGAATACTGACTTGATTGTCTGAGTACAGGTGGGAATACAGCAATGGTTTACGGATGGAATGGACTCATACAGACTAGCCATTGAGAGTCTGAAAAATTCTTTTGGAATTTAATTCTAGTGAGGAAAAGTCTATATGAAACTTTCATTAGCTGCTCTCTACCTTCTAACATAAAATCTTTGGCAGATGTGACTCATTGAAGCACAATGGGATCCACGAATAGATAGAAATATATGGCAGAATAGAGTCCGTATATACAAACAAAGGTACACATGTATGCTGCACAGGTGGTATAAGGCTACAGTGTACTTTAAATGTCACAATCACTCAACTGAACTTGAGTACTCGTTGTTTAAAAATCATCGATTAATATTTGCCTTCTTGATTACTCGGCAATGTGATGGAAAGAAGATGGATCATAGCGGACGAGGGTCCAAATAAAAAGTGAGTGAAAGCTACTGACGGCCAAATGAAGCTTCATGAACCATTTGCTGTATTTTCTGACCCCAGTATATGGTGCTCTTTGCTTGCTTTGGGGCATGATTTGAGCCCTTTTTTATGAACATTCTAGTGGAAGAAAATACAGCAAGTATTTGGGAGCGTTCATACCTTTATTTAGCACTGTCCACTTGTGACTGGATTACCCAGGACGCCTGTTAATACCAGGTGTGAACAGGTACCCTAGTCCATCTTTCTCGTCACTTTACAGTAGAATTCATGCTATTCATCTCAATGCAGATAGGAGCGGTTTCCATGAGGCGCAGGTCTCAAACTGATTGAAATAAAACTGCTACAAAACCTAATCAGATGCTACACCTCCCTGACTTCGTACTGAACAGTTTGATAAGATTAGGGCCTTGATATTAATGCCCTGACAATAATACTGATGACCGACCCAAATTAGCCAGTCACAAAAATACAGTCTCACAATGTTTTCTAGATACTGGTCTTTCGCTAGTGGTCGTCTGTAAATCCGTGCTTAGAGAGAGCAGAGCAGAGGCTGCCTAGCTGCAGGGCCACACTACCACTGCTATCTGGTTATTTTTCTGACTGTCCTGCTTGGAACAGGTTTACCTGTAGTAGGTAGTGGGCAAAGACCACACACTCCACCGGGAGTCCCCAACCATTTGCATACACACTCTACTACCCTCCAAAAATAGCCTAGGAGAAGGAGAGCAAGGGTTTGCACTCACCAAGGACCACTGAGGATGCAGGGAAGGAGGAGCAGAGAAGAGGGAATGTCAGTGGCAATATAGGTCATATCTCCAGGGCCCATCTGGCCAGAGACTGACAAAGGGAGGCTTGAGTAGGAGAAACCTGGTCTGGAGGCCTCTGAGCGCAGAGACCCTATGCTAATAAAATACTCTAATGTCAATGGCACTAATTCTAGCAGAGTGTAACTTTTTCCCCATACATCTACTCCTAAAGCACATCATGTCCCACATATGTCTTGTTAAAGACTATCTTCAGGATTATATTTTTAGCCTCGATACAATAGCTTTTATTTTGTACCTTGAGAGGCACACGCCCACCCGAATCCTGCGATGGTTACTCACGGCTGTGCAGACACTGGAACTCTGCTGTGGGCAGCCCAGCCTGTGCATGTGCTACAGCGAATGTGAGCTTGTTATAATAACCAGCAGTCACAATTAGGGCTAGGCCATATGCGATATTAATACCAAGATTGCATGTAATACACATGCAGTTCTCACATGGCAAGGACCGTGAGAGTCAACTGGGTTGAGGTCAGGCTTTTTCATACCTTCATATTGTCTAGGTATTATACTGCAGCATATGGTATTTTCAAAAACAACGTTATTTTGTAGTACGCTTCGAGTATTTTGAAATTTTGGCCATAAGATTCACAGAGCAAGGAGGGTTTAAAACATTTTTACTCAGTCACAGAAAACAAAACTTAGCAAGTTTTGCAGTTTTCAAGATTATCTAGCATTTGTTAAAAAATCAGTTTAAAGTTCATCGCCGCTGCTTTTGCATGAGCTCTGCATAAGCTCTCCAACCCCAGTCATAATCATTTTCAGCCTTGCTATTTCATCCTTGCTGTTAAATTACTCATAGAAAAGTTTGTGAGAAATCCATTTTGAACTCCTTTTTGTTGTATAAGTATCGCAATACTTATCGCAAAAATAAATCACATTGCAAATATCTGAAATTTTCCAATATCATGCAGCCCTAAATAGAATAGAATAGAATAGAGATACTTTATTGATTCTCTTAGGGAAATGCTCTTGAGACACACAGACATATACACAGCTGCAAGCATGCTAGAGGGTCGCAGTACAGGGTCAGACGGTGTGCAGCAGCCCTCGTGCCCCCTCAGGCCCAGCTGTGCCCTCAGTCTGCCAGCTCTGGGATGTGCCGGTTTCTGTCACATGAATGAGATGCATAGAATGTCTGGGGTCTTTCTGAGCAGGACAGTTCTTCTGACAGCATTTGCTTCTCAGGACACAGGGAACCAGTTTAGAGGGAGCTTATTCAGTGAGTGTATTCATGGCTGTATTTATAAGTCTGTATATGTGTGAGCATGTTTTTATGTGCTGTTATGTGAATGCCCGTTTGTGAGAATGAGGACTTTGGTGTCTGTCGCTATGAGCCTGTGTTTCTTCATGCAGAGGATCACAGGGCGCTCTGCATTATCCCCACAGCATAAGCCACCCCCCCATGCCTCTGGGAAAGGAGCTGCGTGATGAGAAGCTTTCTGCTCCGCACAATAAAGGAAACATCTCCCAGCACACGCTGGGTATTTTTGGAAGGCTCCTTGCAATTCTCTCTCCACAGGAAGTCCAGGAGGAGGTGCGGGGCATTCCAAGGGAAAGCCAGGATCATTTAAAGGGCCGGAGTGAAATGTCAGCGCTAGCAAAAGACTTTCACATTGTGATTAGACAGGAGTACAATTGGGGGGATGTGTAAGTCTATGCAGGACACATCCTGCTGTTTAAGAACAACAAAAAACAGGGAACCAGTGCAGGACAGGTTAAAGGAGTGAGAGCAACTGCAAAGGGAGAGGTCCCCATGGCTTCATGGTCAGAGGACACAAACAGCAACCCCTTGCAGAAACAGGGAGCCCTGTCTACCCTCAAACACAGACACATACACACACAGCTTTTACACATCACTCAAACTATGCCTAACAATGAAGAAAGGGAGTAGCTTCCTCTGAAATATTAAGTACATTGTGTTCCCGGAGGTCAGAATGAGGACACACATCAATCGCAGTTAAAATGAATTACCCAGCAAATAATTATCAGCAAGTTCCACTTTTAGGCACTAATCTCACTGTTCATGATGGATATATTTTAAAATTTCCTAAATTATTCTTGCTGAAAATGCCCTGACAAGGGAAACAGTTCCAAAACAAACCCAAGAAGTACATTTGTCACACCAAAAAGACTGGATGAACACAAACAAAGACTCACCCTGTAAAGTCAGAATCTCAACCAGATGCGAGCTCCCCCCTGACACAAGTAAAGATGAGGTGGGTTTAGACGGTGTACCTCTGAATTTATTCCCCGTATAGCAGGAGTGCCAAGCACACAGCCAGGAGGGACGGCAGGGCATCCCATGACCATATGCTGAGTCCAGCAATATCATGTGTGGCTTCGCTGTCATTAAACGGCTCTCCACAGATAAGGTGTCATACAAAGATTGGTTAAGCAGAAAGCAGCAGGTTCTGCCAAAACGTCTGGTTGGTCCTACGGATTATGCTACTACAGCAGAGGAGAGCTGCAGGCACATAATGCATTATATCTTTACCAGTTAGCTGTTACCAGGGCAAACCTGCACAGTTAGCACAAAGCTCTTTAGAATCCACTCGTGTTCTGGTATGATGAGTTCCTCTTTTTCAAAACAGGGATGAATGAAAGGACTATAACACTGCAATTCAGCCGAGGGCTGTAACGCTGCAGCTGGTGCAGACATGGATGTGTCGGGGCACTTCTTTTGTTGGCTATTTTATGTGTTATTTATCACTATTTAGATTACTATTTTCTTTTTAAAACCACTGGACACACAACACCAAAGGAATACTACAGATGCACCTCAACTTCCAGCCCTTCCACAATAAAGCTAAAAACAGAATTTCTGAAAAGCTGTGTAGCCAGTGTTGGGGAAGTTACTCACAACAGTAACAGACAGAGCTGGAAAGTTCAGGTCCAGAAAGTTACAGATCCAGACCAAGGTTTTGTTTCAACCACCCAGTTGAGTACAAAGAGTCACAGTCGCAGAGAACTCAACTGGTTGGTTGAAACAAAACCTGGTTCTCAATCTGTATCCTTCTGGACCTGAACTATCCACCTCTGTAATGGATTACTTATGTGAGTA